AGTTCGTTTAACTTTTTTGCCGATGAGCCAAGTTGAGTTTCCAAACCGGCGGCATCGAAGTTGATACTATCAGCCAGAGATCTTGAAACTCAGTCGATGAGATATAGTCGTCGACGATTTTAGTGACATGAGATTGCATAATGCTCGTAACGAGGCCCGGGAGTGATGATTTAACCCACTCGTTAAGTTTGATCTCTAATTTATCCCAGTGATCTTCAAAAGTCGAATTAGTTGGGTCGATAGCATCATTAGTCATAGGAGGTTTCCTTTTTGGTCCCATAATGGAAAAATACGAGAGAATATAACCTTGATTGCAATAAATTTGTAGAGCACAAAATTAGGCAGCCATCTTGGCTCGCTGACCGCTTAAAAGTCCCCACGTTCTAGTTGTCGTCCGCGTCGTTGGATCTTAAACTCCCTAAATTGTACAAACGACCGGTTTCAATAGAACGGCGAAATTTCTCATTTTATTAAAGCACTGAGGTTACGACAACTTCGAGTTAAACTGATTTCACGGGTTGTCAAAGAGTCCAGCGATTCCTTTTTCCCAGGTGAGCGCCGACTCATTTCGCTTCAATATTCAGGAATGCTCTCGATCTTTTTACGCTTTCATTGAATCTCGCCCGACATGTTTTGCACGGCGTTTGGTCATGCGAAACCTCCACGAAACATCCACGCCTCGCGCGAGGTAACTTTATCCCGATTCTAAAAATAACTCGAGACGAATTACCTATGGAACAGGGTGTATATGGGGGATGCCCTCTCTGTCCCCTTTATAGTCTCTTGGCTATACTGTATTTCATAAAACCAAATGAAAATCACAAACTCAGAGCAGAACCTGGTGCCACAATCATTGTCATCATCATCATTATTGTCACTATTATTTTCGCACTAAAATGTTCTTTAAAACATTGCATATCACGTCATTGTGCCACGATGACCACTACTAATGAATGTTGTGGAAATTTCGAATACGCTGGAACCTACATGAAACGGCATCATTGTGATAAATACACAAAACCAGTGTTAGATCTGGATATATTTAAAGGCTACGTGCTGTGTACAGCTGAACATTGTTCTCTGAGATCGCGTAAACCTAAACTTTACGGAGATATTAAAAGCAGATACCCTAAGATTACAGCAGCTATGGAAAAATTATTATATTTTTGAGTAGACAAATCTTATAAACGGGCCGCGAACTGAACAAATTGTCTGTTGTACATTTTAAAGGTTCTGCTCAACTTACACAATTTTCCCTTGCTGAACATAAACTGTACCGAGCCGTATCTTGGTCCGCTATATATAAGCTATATCATGGTTCAAATTTTAAACTGTAAGATCCCTGACAGAGTTCTCCTCAATGGAGCAATATGTAAAAGGTTTTTAAAGGTTTCACGCCGGTGAAGATGTGCGGCCTGTCACCTCTTGCAAGTTTTTACTTTATTATTATTATTATTATGTAAAGTTTAGCACAGGGGATTTTCCCTGGGGAGAAATATCCAGTCAAGTCTCATCCCGAGACCTCAGACTTCCAGCACCTTTCTGAGGATATGTGCCGATCCTAGGAGTGCCGACTTTTGCATCGTTCTTGTTCGGTTTTTAATTCCTAGTTGCTCCAAGTGGCCTGCCAGCCTCTTTGACACTGAACCCAATGCACCTACAACCACTGGCACCACTTTTGTCCTTGATTTCCAGATCCTTTGAATCTCTCTTGCCAGGTCTTGGTACTTTTCACACTTTTAAGTTTCTTTCTGCAGAATATTACTATCTCCGGGAACAGCTATGTCCACAATGATTGTTTCCTTTGCCTCCTTTTTCTGAATTACAATGTCTGGCCTCCTGTGATGGATTTCACTGCCTGTTTGGATGGTAAAGTCCCACAACAGTTTAACCTCCTCATTCTCTTCTACGCTTTTTGGGGAATGCTCATACCATTTGTCACTGCACTCAACTTCATATTCCTTGCACACCTCCCAATGAATGACCCGCCCAACAACATCATGCCTCTTTTTATATTCTGACTGTGCAAGCTTGGGGCAACTACACGAAATATGCTGCACAGTTTCATCGTGGCTACCACATATTCTGCATTTGGATGATACATTTTGGTTTTCGATTCTGGCTTTATTATTAGCGGGGCTCCCGCGCGCGCGAAGCGCGCGTGGGACAGAGCCCCATACTCATGGAATATGGTCAACCTCTTTTCGTTTGGTTGTCACGTGATTGACCGAGCGTACGTACGTACGTACGCGTCTACAGATTGTACGGGTGGGGTAGGGGAGACTATCAAAAGGAACGGAGGGGTGTCTCAGGCGTGTCTTGGCAAGTCCACATCTTTAATATAGGATTTTAGGACATTCACAATATGGTCAATTGACAGCTGTCAAAACAGGATAGCCACTGACAAGTATCCCATGACCATATCGCGGGCTCATGTGTCAACTCATCGAGGTGACGTGATTTATTTGGAAGCTGTCCGCTGACCAGTTAATTGTTTTACTAGATCGCGAACAATGTTCAATCTCATACTTTTACTAGTTAAACTGATAATGCACACATATTGGACATCAATGTTTTGATCAATTGACAGCTGTCAAAACAGGGTACCCGCTGACCAGTATCACTTGACCGTATCGCGGGCTCAGGTGTCGACCCATCGAGGTCAAGTATTTTTTTGAAGTTATCCGCTGACAAGTTACTAGTTTTCAAGTGATCGCAGGCTCAAGTTCAAGTTTTTTCAAAATTCATATGAAATATGTTGTGTTTCTGTGCTACACAATTAAAATTTTGATTGCAAACTGACCTCGGACGCGAAAATTCAGCCAGCTGTTACAGGCAGGGAAGACAGTTGCTTTTGACTTTTCTCACCATGGTCACGTGTTGGTCACGCTCTACGTCCAATTTTTATGCTCTGATTGGTCAAAATTTGACAGGTGAGTTCATGCGGAAAATTTATGCAGCATCTTGAATCTTGTTTACTTTGACAGCTGAAGCTGACAGAGTTTTGTGTCAACTGTCTTTTTCCACTGGATGTGCAAAATGAAATTCAGCTGCTATCAGGAGTCCTCTGTTATTCATGGCTAGTTTGTTTATTGGGTTTTTGGTTGAGGAATACGTCGCTTGTCAAAGTCGGAAATCCGATTTCGGGTGGCATCGTTTTCGTTTTCACCTTGCTTGATGCGTAAGAGGATTGCAAAGTCTGAAGCGATACTGGCTTTTCTTGATACCTTTCAGGAGCTGCATCTCGAATGGTAAGCCAGAGAAATTATTGTATTTGATGTTTGTTTTTTTGGATCCAATTTAATAAAGTCGAGCGGAGTTTATGCGGTCATTTAGTTTATGCACGTTTGTAAGATTTGAGACAATGATCTGACCGAGTATCAGGTTTGATATAAGCTTACAGAACTTTAAAAAGCCTTTAGACAGTTTCTCACCGCAAATAGAAAGAAAACGTTCCAAAGAATATTTAGTTATAATTCTGGCCGGAAAAGAAAGCTTTGAGCGATTTTCTTGCCTCGAGTTCGTCTTTGAAAAAGGCAAACACCTGGAAGCCGGCTTAATAAACTTAAGCTTGAAGCTTGAAGACTCAGGATTTTTAGGGATACTTTAATACTTGTCTTCCTGAATGAAAATTGTTGGTTCTGTATATGTTTCACCGAATTATATTTCTTTTATTGATTGTTAGTAGTCTCTCTTGTAATTTTAATCGCTGTGCCGATTGTTTTCAGTCGTTCAGTGAACATCGCTTGCAGAGTACTCAAAATGCCGGGCGTTAATAAACCATTAAATAAAAAATAAACAGAATAAATTCTTTATAATGTTGGAGCGTAACTCTGTTAATGTTCATTCAAACACTCGCCACAGCTCGCACTACAAAAGTGAGAACCGGATGGCCGTATAGGTGATTTTGGAAATTTTTTTAACAGTTTATGAATATTGAATTAGTGCAATTTGTATTGTGAAATACTGCTTTCTGTCCGAGGTCTGCCGGTATGATAAAAACAGTGCCTCATACTACTGTTTCACCTCAGATGTGATGTATAAATGGTATAAAAGGTTGGTTTACACGCACCCAGATTTGTTGACAAGATTTTGCAAAGTAAACTTGTTGAACGCAAAAAAGTTAGCCTGATTTTTTTTCCACTAATTAATCTACGGTGATCAAGAGCCATTATGGCTCTTAAATGTGATCGAAGATGATTACCAGTTTTTGGGTGTACATATGAGGCTATCAACTCGATGTAAGATTTGGTTCACTCTTGGGCTGTTTGCAAATTATTTTTCTCTAAAATCAGGTGGCCTTTCCCTCAAAAGTCACATAAATGTGCTCTAAAGTTAACTGAATTGTGGAATTCGAATACAAGGTTATTGTTTAATTTAAATTATAAATTTATTAATGGGAGCCTCGCTTTTAGCCCTGGCTAAATCTATATATTATTATTATGTCGCAGTATGAAACTTTGGAATGCTGTTCACATTGTGAGTAGTATAGGGCGCATAGCGTAACCTACACCAATTGAGATGCTATACTTAGAAGTAAAAAAAGGTCGATACGAAACCTAATACAATCCTAAAATACATAGTGATATGAATCTCTCTACTTAAAAAGCCAATTTAGAATATTATTAAATTCTGATACTCTGTAAAACCTTCGCTATCTCTACTAAAAGCTTATACATAGTGATATAAATCTCTCTACTTAAAAAGCCAATTTAGAATATTATTAAATTCTGATACTCTGTAAAACCTTCGCTATCTCTACTAAAAACATATTTATAATAATATCACACTCTAATGTTCTAAAAAATCTAAGTAAAAACGTCAGCAAGCTTGTGTTTCTAGATTTCTAGAGAAAAAACAAAAACCTAAAAACTGAAGTCCATAGCGCCCTAACTAGGTATTTATCTTAAATGTTCCTGCAATGTTTAAAGTGTTTGAGATGACCGACTTCGGCATCCGCTCAAGTACGCTCCGTGCTCTCGCTCCAAGTAGCTTCCTCACCGACTTCTCTAGGTGTTTAGAGTAACCCCCCAGTACGTCAATTATTACGTTGTACTGTTCAACCCTGTAACCATTGTATCTCTGCTTCAGCTCCCACATCATGGGCCCATACTTGAGTGTCTTTTCCTCATCTTTCTTAGCTCTACTCTCAATCCATGGGCAGCTCATTTCAATCGTGCAGACTTCTTTCCCCTCGTGGTTGACAAGTCGCGCGTCGATCCGATTTGCTCTAACTTCGTTGTGCTCTGCATAGATGGGAATATCCCAAAACGCCTCACTCGTGGTGTTCTGGTAGGCTGGTTTTGGCATCACCGGTGAGTACCATGGTGGAACCTCTTCCATTAACCCATGCTCTCGCAGGAGCTCAAAAAACAGAATCTTCAAAGCTGCATTATGCCTGTATAGGTACTATTATTATTATTATTATCATTATTATTATTATTATTATCATCAATATTATTGTCGTTGTTGTTGTTGTCGATGATGACACTAATTACTGGGTTTACTTGTCCTCCGACCATCTATTTCAAGTTTATTACAAAGTGCGACAGCTTTTTATATTACAAAGTGCGATGGTCTGTTATTACAAAGTGCGACAAGTGTTATTACAAAGTGCGACAGGTATTACAAAGTGTGACAATTTTATTACAAAGTGCGACTGGTATTACAAAGTGCGACGATTGTTACAAAGTGCGACAGTAGGTGCATACTGGGCTGCCATAAAACCTAGACTAGATAGAAATAATATGTTGTATGAAAACGAGAAGTTCACCACAACAGACAGCTGACAGCGTATGAAAGGAAGAAATAACCCTGCAATACCCTTCCCATCCCGGACACCACCCCAACCCACGGGTCTCATTAAACTGTTTGAACTGAGACTATAATTGGATGATTGATAATTCCAACGTTATTGATGGTCGATACCAACAAGCTAGGTGGGTATACCGTGTGGCACGAAAGTTTTGCGGGAGTTTATTTTTGCGGATTGGTGATTTTTCTGTTTTGCGGAAACTAATTTTTGGGATCAGGACACATTGGCTTTTCTCGATGAGAATTAATTTTTGCGATTTTCAAAAAATACCCAGTACCTTCCCGGCCAGCAGAGGTATCTCACGACGAGGCAAAAATGAGAGGAAAAATGAGAGATCCCTGCTAGCAGGGAACCAGTACCCAGCATTGGAACTATTTTCGTTCTTGTTAAGTACGTGCAATCAGGGTGCAATAGAAGTACGGTACATATTTTCAAATAGTACTACGGGTAATGGGTACTTTGTGTAAAACCGGTATCTCATTGTGTACCATTTAGTTTCTGAATGAAAGAGGCAAGTTGTGATTGAACATACACGATTTCTTAGTTCTGTATTTTTGTGTAGAGTATTTTAGTTAGAGTATGTTTACTCTGGAGTAAATTTTTGCGTGAAAAATGTTTGCGGTAATTTTTTTGAGGGAACTTTTTTTGGATCGCTACAAAAATCGCAAAAATGAGAACCCGCAAAAATTTCCTGCCACACGGTAACTCTAGTTTCAGCGCATCTGAAATTTTCCGTAATCGCCTGCAATACCATTGAGCTTAGTTAGAGCGGCCCAACAGAGTTAAATTCTCTAAACTAAACCAAATTGGTTCGACATGGACAGAGTTTTTTTTGTTATAAGTAGTATTTTTGTGAGGTATGACTTAAAACACTGCGAACCGACCGGATTAAAATTGACTTGTTCAATTTTTTGAATAATCATGGGGGGAGGTAGGGAGGGAGGGGGGGGGAGATACGCGAAAGGGGTACATTTTTTAGGCTTCACGTATAAAAAAGGTAGAGATTTCCCTAGCTGAAGTATATGAAAGGGTAGGGAAATGCGTCATTTCGGTCTGAAAAGGACTAGGCTCACGATTTTGTTGTTTATCTTTCCTCGCAAGAAAACATACCTTTCTTAGCGAGATCTTATATCTTCTTTCACCTTTATTGTTACCTCGGAATCGATACCGTGCGTAAACTTTTCCGGCCAATTGATTTGTTTTGTCTAATAAATCACATGCCATTCTTTAAAAATTGAATAACAACAGCCTCTGTATAAATATCTACACACGACATGAGATGATTGATCACTAAAAACGCGATTACAATAGGTGCATAAGTGATAATAAAAATAAAGAAAGAAAATAAAATCAATGAAATCAATACAAAAGCAATGATATTGTTACCCAAAAACTAGCGATTGAAGTACTGAATTCTTCTGTAAGGCTGTTGTGTTGATCAGAAACACTGTTGGATTTCACTGATCCAGTTTACGTAGTCAACAGTTTCAAGGTTTTAACAGTTGATTCGGGAGATTCTCTTAGCGCTTCTAACTCAGTAGGTAGCTAACTTAATACACAAGGTTTCTCGACAAAAGATTCACTCGGAAGAGTTCGCTTGTAAGTGGGTCTCTCGTATAGTTCATGAACTATACGAGCCACTTCCAAAATGTACTCTTGCCATCTTTTACTGTGGCCTTACCATCAACAGCGTTTACATTCGCAGTTTTGGCATTCTTATGCTTCCACCGAAGATAGATTGCTAATAGCTTCGAGTCGCTTTGAGCTCCTTAGAATGTACTCAGCTGAAGTCTTCCGACCTATTCCATGCGTTCACCGGCGAAAAATGTCTACGCATGCTCTGGAAAAAATTACACGTGATCTATTTCGGGCAATGTCATTGGCTCCGAGGCAAAAATGCCTGGGAAATGTTGTTGAGATGAAAGGAGCGATGGCAGCTTTTTTTGGCAGTGACAGCGTTGCAATTTCTTGCCACTGTAAGAGATCAAAAAATATTTTGGTCAAAGTTTTGACGTAAGTGTGTTCTCTAGAGAATATAGCGTCCTGAAACTGGCGAAAAATCCCATTGGCAGAGACTGATTCAGTGTTTTTCTGGTTTGCATGTGGAAGACATGCCGAAAAGGTGGGTAATTTTTGCTCTTTTTGTTTACTGCATGTTCCGTGCAACTCGGTACAAAAAGAAATTATAAAGTAGTGGAAGAAAAATTATTGGGCTTTGTTTTGGTATATAAATTAGCTTGTACCGAGTTGCACGGAAGCGACAGTTTTGTTAAATGTGTATCCCGTTTTTGTGTCAAAATTCGACTTTGATTGTGAATCTAACATTCGATAACATTCGACTGTTGATCGAAGAGCGTATTACAATGCTATCCAAAATGTTTTTGTTGTTTAGATCAAATTTCTTATCACGGATTCAACAAAAAAAAGTAGAGGGACAGACATTTTTGGGCTTTGTTTTGTTAATATGACTTAGTGTGTACTCTTAACTTGTTGCTGGAAAAACTATATTTAGATGCTTAATCTCCGCATGTTTACACTGTTTAAAGCAGAAAAATACGCTTACGCTTGGTTCAACTTAATCTCGTGTCACTCGGTACAAAAGGAAATTATAAAAAAGGCAAAGAAATATTCTTAGCGATTGTCTTGCTGTGTAAATTGGCTTGTGACTAGTGGATCGAAAGCGGCCGGGTTGAGGCAGTTTTCTAAAGTGCGTAGTTCGAAACGTGATTTTGTCGATCGATGCGAATTTCATTGTTGTTGCACGTTATTACAGCTTTGTATGTTACCATATAGAAATTTGAGTTTTATGCGAGCTGTCAAATGAGAAAATGTGTCTTGGAGCTACAGTTCGATACGTCCAGCAACATTCTGATTTGCGAAAAAAATTCTGTTTGCAATGCGCACAGCTGCTGTACATTGAGGCTTGCATTTTTATAATTGAAGGATCGAAGTTTAGATTATTTTGCTTATAAATTTCAGGGGCACCCAACGACAATTTTCGGAAAAATATCTGTTCGGAAGACGATTTGAGATGTAGAATTTTCGGAACATTTGTTGTAAAATTTCTTGCTTGCCTGCCTCTCCTAGGATTTTCGAACATCTAAAAAATGGTATAATTGCATATTTTTAACGGATTTTTACCCTAAAAAGGTTACCTAGAATTTTCGGGAGCCTTTTTTCTGGCTGAAATTTTCGAAAAGGTAAGTTTTGATCCCTATAATTTTCGGATCACTAGACTTTCAGCTAGGAAATCCGAACAGATGAAAAATTTTTAGGGGATAAAAATATGCCTTTATCTACCGTTTAAATACGTGTACTAAAATAGTTTTAAGAATGCTATGTTTAAGTGCTTTTGAACTACATTCTCGTTGGGTGCCCCTGAAATTTGGCTTGGGATTATCCACGCAACGAGTTACTTCTTTAGGAACCGCACTTACGGACATGATTTCCTCCGTGTACAATTTTTTAGTACTAAATTTTTGCACACAAGGCTTTCTGTGGGGGGTGCTTCTTTGCTTGAAAATTGGATCCTGGAAGGAGATGAACAGGGTAATATTCCTGTGAATGCTTTTGTTTTTCTGTCCATCGTTTTCGGCTTAATTTTTTTTGGCGCAAAGTTATTAATGAATGATAGAGTTAACATGCTATCATAAGTATTCAAAAGTTCTTTCCAAGAAAAAAATAATCCTCACAAATTAAACTTACAAGAGTTTAAAGTTTGGAGTAAAATTTGAGTCTTAATGAAATTTTAGTTGGATCATGCTGATGAATGCAGTTGTTTAGGTTATGCAGTTTCCAATTTTGATCTTCTGTCAGAATTATGAGAGAACACTCAAATACAGATCTCATTCAAACATTATAGTTTCATTGTAATTATCGTTTGTTTCTTTTCCTATAAACTTCTCACCAGGTCTACATCTTGCATGAATTTAATGTGATATATATTTGAAGGGGTTGTTAGTTCACAGTGAAGTATTTTTCACTTTGTTTTTTTGATATGAAGTTTAGTTTCTTCTTAGTTGTTGGCTAAGGCAGTGTTGAAGAAGTGACATGTTAACATACTTTATTGTTCATTTCTCTTCAGAAAAGATTGATTGACTCCTGAATCAAACAAAGTGCAGCTTCACAAAGACGATTTTTGACGAACAAATGTGTACTCAAGCAAAGTACATGTCCCTGACAGTGTTAATAAAATTTATTAATGGAAACATCTGGGTTTTTACTCCTTTTTAGCAGTTTTGACTACGCATCACTTTTCTAACCTATATAGTGAAAGATCATGTAGTATAATCAGTATTTTTTCTAACTAACACATTTGCAATCAAAGTTCTCTTCTTTTATAATTATATGGTATTCCCCTGATTTTAAAAATGTCATTGTCTTATTCAGATCAAGCACAGTAACCATTGAAAAGAAAAAAACCTGCTCGGTCATAGACGGCTTTAAAGTTTTGATATTAAAATCGCAATGAAAAGAACATGAATGCAGACACTACAGTTCATTTAGCTCATGTTCAAGCTTTTTTTATAAATTAGAAAGTCTTGCTGGAGAAAACATAATTTTATTGTATCTTTTCGGTAAAAAAAAAATAAAATAATAAAATAACTTCCAGGTGTCTAAGCAATTCCAAAGGACCCATAGTGTCTTATTTCTCTGCTGCATAGAGCTGTGAACAAAGGCCGTTCTTTTTAGTGAACCGGCTTTCATCAAAAATATTGTTGTCCGTCGTGATCGTGAAGAGTCCAAAGTTGAATCTGGTGAACCAGCCAAAACGCGAGCATCGCAGGGAACGAATCCCATAGGAATAGGTGAAAAAGGATAATAAAAAGTCTAGGCTATTCTAAAAATATCCGTATATGCATTTGCAACTCATATTAAGCCGCAATTAATCTTCTTTCCACTGGAATAAACAAACGATGGAGGTAGTGCCGCCATTTTGAATTTGGCAATGTCACTGTGGTCGCGAGTCGACCAATCAGACATTTTTCGCCGGTGAAATTCCATGCGTACTCTTATGTCTTGCGCACGCGCTGAACACGCAAGAGTGCGATTGTGCCAGAACAGAAATCCAAGCCCATTTTAAAACTTAGCCGTGCCACAGGCAGCCCAGTAATAATACAAAATAGAACGCGCTCTCGGACGCTTTTAAACGAAAATTGGCGTCAGTGCTGTTAGACTGTTTCTGTTTCTGTTTACCATTTACAAAAATATTCCCTAAAAATCAGTATGAAAAGTAAATGGAACACGACTTTTGGAGTCGTGTCGGTGAAAAATTAGAAATTCTTGGAAGGAACATAACGTCCGAAAAATTAACGCAGTCCAATTTTCCCGGTCGTAATATTTCAAAAGGAAATCCGTGTTCCATTTCTTCAAACCCATCTTTGATACCAGTTTCACCCTTTCGCGGCGGTTTTTCGGTAAATGGAACTCCTGAGTGCGATTCCGAGACGAAATTCACCTGCCCAAACCGTGAACAGACCGGTTTGCCCATGTAAACAGTAAACAATCATTGGGCTCTTGCAATTGCATCCTCAACGCTGTTACATTTATAGAAAGTCACCATTTTGTTTCAAATTGACTTTTTTCCTCATAAAAAAAGTCAAATTTGCCAAATTCAACAAGAAACAGGTGTGCAACGTGAAAAAGAGGCAAATGCAATTTTTTATGTTAGCCCTTTTCGGACGGCTAGGGTTGTATACGACCCATATGGAACGATGTATACATTCCTCCCTGGAACCATTTAGCTTTTAGTTTAAGTTAATAAATCGGTAAGCAACAACGTCAGCAAAGACAGATCTTTCCAGCGAACATCGTTTTGGATATTCTGACCAATCCTGACAGAGTTACACTCACAAAAAAAGGTAACATTTTTGGGAAAATCCACCTTAGTATCTGCTTTTGATATCTCCGTACAGTTCATGTTTCTTAGAGTACAATTTTTAGAGCTGTACACAGCATGCATTTTATCACAGTAGCCTTTCATTTTCCAGGAAAATTTCACTTTTTCGTCAGAACAATCACTGACTCAGTCAGACTCGGAGAAGTCTACTTTAATTTAGTTCTCAGTACAGCGAACGAGGTTATGTTCTGTGAAATTTATCTACAGTCTACGGTCCAGGATGACATCCCCACGATCCACGATTTATTTAAAACTTATTTTATTTCAAGTTTTTTTTAACCGATCCTCGATCCCCGATTTTCGATCCCCGATTCTCGATCCTAGTTTTCCGGTAAACCTCGAAGTTTTGCTCATTAAGATCGTTCTTTTTTTTCGACCACTGAAGTAATCACTTGCTCTAAAGCAATAAACGCTTTCAAGCGATAGAATTCGTGGACCTACCCGTTCCGGAAAAGCTCGATATGGCATTTCTATTTTATGGGTATGGAACGACATGAAGTGCTGCTAGTAGAGTGCGTTATATAGTCAAGTGAAAGATACCCGTATAAACACAGCCGTGACACATACGTAACGTCAGACTGGTAGTTGAAATTGCTTCCAATAGTAGTCGAAGGTTAAATCATTGATATGTCAAGTATTTATAAAGTGTAACGCGACTTCTTATCTTAACAACTGCGAAAATCTATCAATTAAATACATACAACAAAGTGAATCTATTTAACCGTAGAATTCCAGTAATTGCAACAATAATCTGAGAAATAACGTAACACCTCAATACACTACAAAACAGGATTTCCCCGCGATAATATTTTTACATTTTAATACATAGAGGATATTACATGGCCGTGCGGAGATACGAAATTTCTCCTCGAGTGTTGAGAAATATTGCGAACGAGTGAAATATTTTTTCAACACACGAAGAGAAATTTCGTATCTCCAAGCGGCCATGTAATGTTCTATTTATTATATAAACACCAATGAACTATCAAATCATTTCACTTTAATAGTTTTTTTGGGTGTGAAATGCGCGATTTATTGTGTAGTCATAGCAACGGTGATATTTTCACTTGTGAAGATAACATGTTATTTTCACATGTTTCGCGCGAAAGCTCACCTGGTATTTCATTGGTGTTTATATAATAAACGTGTAAAATAACACGAAAATCAAGGGCCTCGAATCGGGGAAAATTACATCTTTGCCAAACAGCTAAAAATGTGATCAACTGACATGCGTCATTTCAGTCATCGCCAAAAATAAACCGCATGCTCATCACTAGTCTCATTTGTATACAAGTCTGTATACAGTGAAAGTCGTCAAGATTCTTATCCCCAGTTTCCACGGTCTCCGCTAGGAACGCATGAGAGCATGGCCTCCTAATTGGTGCCCACCGACAAAGAAATAATAAGAAAAAGAAACACCAGCAGCTTTTCGACAGTATAGTCTCGCTCTTTCCATCTTTATTTCTATTCCTTTAGCCGACAGCGGTAAAGCAAACGACTAATTAATCAAATTCAATAGCGCGAGCGTGCTTCATTTCGACAGTATAGTGTTGTTATTATCGAATGGAAGCTTAATTTTTCCATCGTATCCTTTACCATGTATTTTGTAAAGAAATTTAAGAGGAAACTATTCCTTTAGCCGACAGCGGTAAAGCACAATCCAGTCATCAATTCAAACACCTTATTGTCAATACGACCACAGGCCTTACGATCTAGCTCTCTTCCGCGTCCCATCGGCAGTCTATTCTGAAACAGAACGTTTTTAAAAGCTCTAGAAAATTTTTAGAAGAAAACGAAAAATCTTCCACACATATTTTTTTTAAATTCATCTGCTATCATTCTAATGCCATTTTAACAGGCATGTTTTACCTTTTTCTTTTCCTCCAACTTAACTTTAAGGTGGCATTTAATTTTCATAAAACTTGGCCAGCCTGCGTAACAAGTGAATTGTTGTTTTATTTGCTCGTGGGGTAATTCGCTAGAAGCAAACCCTTCTGTGAAATGGCCCCGTTTTCTTGTTTGACCGCTTTTAAGCTTTCGCAAGGTCGTATCTCCTACTTTAAAAACCACGAACGAAAAAAAAAAAACGCCAAAAAAGTCTGCCACGTGGGCTAAATTTTACCTTTCTAGGCATAATCACTTTTCTTCTTCCAATACGACGGATTTGTATTTATGATACAGCTTTATCTCATACTAGAGGAGTTATAAGAGAATGTGAAAACCTTTATCTCCAAATTTCAGTGCCACCTTGTGAATTTGCTTTGGTAATTGTTGAGATGCAATGGCGCAGATGCCTCTCGCAGTGTGTGGAATTTTTGTAATGCTGCTTGGTTTTGTGGCCATTTCTGGAGAAGGTAAATTGCCTAGATTGAATTGTATTATTCCCAGTCGTTATCATGATAAGTTCTATTATAATCGATTGAGCAGAAATTTTTTTCTTCCTTTCTTTTTCTTTCCTTTTCCTTCCCCCTTTTTCTTTTTAGAAAGTTAAGCTGTAATCCAAGTTTAGCTGTAATGTAGTTTAATGGTGACAAAAAGAATTCGGGAAAAAACAAAGATTATGTTCTGACTAGTGTAACTTAAAAGAGTAACTTTTTCAGCTAAAGTGTTAGCATTTCAACCCTTTAATGTGCTGAAAGAGTATTCATTTGCATTCTCTGTAGAGAACTGCAACTGTATTGAACATCAACTACGGCTGTTATTTTTTTCGTTCAAAACAGACACAAATTTGGCACCGTGTGAGCAGAAAATAGAAGACGTGAAAGGCGTGATCAAAACTGCTAAATCTGGCACCATCTCTGACTGTACCTGGCTTATTAAAGTACCAGCCGGCCATAACATTTTCCTAAAATTCACAACATTGCAGTTATATTTCAAGTACAACATGTATGGCCCAAGTGAGGAAAATACTGAGTTACAAGTATGGGACGGTCACAACGAGTCAAGTGCTTCGCTTGGAATTTACCGTGGAACAAAACGAGCATTTTCTCTGCAGTCGAGTGGCCGTTGCCTATTCATACGGCTAAGAGTGTTCCCTGATACTGATCTTTGTAATGTTCAAGCATTGTTTTTCGCTAGTACTGTAATAGGTATGAGTGATTTTGGTCTTAATATAGCGTGGTCAGGACTGAATCCCGATATTTATTTCACCTATAAAGGTATAGTAAGCAATATATACAATAACCCGCAAAAAGTAGTTAAGTGAAAGAAATCTAGGCAAACTTCATTTAAATCACTTAGAACTCCCTTTTTTAAGGTATGCAGGATACAAAAATTTGTTTTCACTGCCTGAAAGAATTAGGGAGCGATGTATCACCAAAACATCTTTATTGTCGAATAAACAAGGCTGCTAGTATCACGCTCAACAGCAGGTAATATCCAAAGGCAAGACTGTAATGATTCCTTTTTTCGTCACAGTTCTGACTAAAAGGATGGTTTTCACTAGGGACTGAGTCGGAGTCGGAGTTGAAGTCTGAGAAGTATTAAATCAGAAGCGTACAACAACAACAACAACAACAACAACTAGCAAGGCTATTCGAGGCGGGACAGTGCGCAAAAAATATAAGAAATAAAGACTAAGGCTATTAACTAAGGAAAGTTTACAGTTTACAAATAAATGAAATAAAAATCGTAATATGGATGAGGACTAGATAACAGACGTCCGTAATGCTTGGTTTTCTTTCCTTAGTTTCTCAGTTCCGGTCATAGTTGAGAAAAGGTTAAAAGATTAAAAGATTTTGAGGAAATTTAGTTAGAAGCCGGAGTGATCGAGAACACGTCCGACTAGTACGCTCTCGGTACCAATCGTAGGTACCAAGCGTAGGACTTTACGATCTGGTGAAAACAGCATTGTAATTCCGAATCTGACAATCTGGTTTTCAGCTGAGTGTAATCGATGGAGTCATAAGCGGCGTTGGAAGAAAATGGAAACGTTCTGATTCTTCCTACTCCGACGCTGTCGCGCTGATGACTTCGCTTACGACTCCGAGTTTTGATTTTCACAATGTCTTATACGCTCTTACGAGTCCACTTACGATTTCGATGCCGACTCCAACTCCGAATTCTTAAAGCTTGTGGCTAGTGAAAACCATCCTAAGAATAAGAAGTTGAAAAACCGGCCAATGAAGAAGTGTTGAAATGCACGCACACTTTGTCGGGGATAAAATTCGAATTATACAGCGGACAATCAACGAAATTAGTTGCTGTCGTTGTTGTTGTTGTTGTTACAGAAAAGCCCGAAATACATTTCCCTGGTCCTGCCGTCAGAGCAATGAAGGATCTCTGGTTGAAGTGTTCAGCGAGAGGAACTCCTCCAATTCAGATAACAATAACCCAGAATGGCACACTACTGGTTAAGGGAACTGGAACTGCTAAAGTACGTATTAAACACGAAGGTGAATACAGATGCACAGCAAGGAATGAAGCTGGAATTGATTCTAAAGAAATAATTGTATCTTTTCCCACAAGTAAGTGTAACCACTCCTACGCAGCGATAAGAATTCTCTCGTCGCATAGTTCTACAACGGGTAGAGACCTTTAGCATCGGGTTTTTCAAGGGAAACCGCAAACCGCAGTTTGCAGTTACACGTTTGCAGTTTCACGTTGCCGAGATTTCAAATTTTAGCATGGCGTTCGGTTCAGTTCAGTTCATTTTTATTTAGCCAAAATATAATACCATACAAGAATACATATAGGAATTGTAAGGTTGCAAGGGATCTCAGAAGAAACCAGAAGGCTTATGAAGCCTGGGCTCCCCAGTCTCAAAGAAATAAGTAAAAATAAAATGAAATTCGCGGAGTGATACGTTAAAAATAGGAACTAAACGGAGAGTGAGTTAAGTTATGCATTCAGTAACAAGATAGAAAAAGAATTTAACTCTGGACTGGAACAGAATACTTTCTTTTGCTAGTACGGCCGAAAGGAGTATATAATCGATTTGAGCTACAGTTCATTGTTTAGGGCCGCCATGTTGTTTTCATCTAGTCGACGTGCATCACTTTAATCGCCCCCAAAACAGCAATAATTCATTGATTCGAGATCAAAAATCCAAAAAACACATCGCAAATGGATACAAAAAGCTAGTTCATGCCTTTAAACTCGAGACTGTAAATCACTTGCCGCTTGAAGCCCTTCCTGCGGTTCAAACGTGAACTGCAAACTGCAAACGTGACCGCAAGACCGTGGTCACGTGACCTGATACTAAAGGTCTCTAATAAATACTTAACGGCTACGGTTAGTATTCCAGTCGGTTTCGACGGGAAAAACTGTGCGTAAGATTACCTAAAGTTCCTTTACGCTCTACAGCCGATAAACTTCCAGCTGCAGCTAAGCAGGTTACGTACCGTGATAATGTAATCACCACCCAGATCTTTGTAATCTTTTCAGAGACATCTAATCTTTGAACTACAAAAATATTTATCAACTGAGTTGAAAGTCAATCTTTTTTGGCGAAGTATTAGCGATCCCTTAACTGAGTGTCGTGTTTTGGTGTTCTGGCCGATAACTTTAAAAAGTTTTTTGAGGATCCTATTTAAGGGAAGTTCGGCCTCTGGACTTTTGATGATCCTTTTCTTGTTTAATGACAAGCCGGCCACTGTCTTAATTCTGTTTCCCTCTTCAGATTGCCACAGAAAATGTTATGGATATGGTGGATATACAGGCGAAAAGAAGAAGAGAGGGGTAAACACGTTTTCCTGTTGGTCGTCATCATACAACGACATTTTCAGATGCGCACCCACAATTGCCACACGCATGTAAGTAGACCTTGTTGTCTTAGTACTGAAAAT